ATTCAAAGCTGATTAAAAAATAAGGTTTACGAGAATAACGGAAATGATCAGCAAGTAAAGTAGCTCTAGACTTCTAACAAGATTCACCGATGCTATTATTACGTGTACCATGCATCGGACTGTTTAAAAAACAGAATGGAGAATATGCACACTGATGTAAGGGCGTAAAGGATTTATGTACGTGAAGATAACAGTATAGCAGAGTGGATCAATTTGTTTCTTGGTGGTACCTTTTTAATTGCAAAGATATATATAAATGTTGTTGATATTGTTGTCAATATTTGTTGTTTTTGTAGTCATTTTGTTGTTTTAAAGAAGTCTTGTAAGGTAAACACTGTGGTTTAGGGATGGAATATCTTATACATCGATAAAAACTGATGTGAGATTTTACTATTGTTTTTGGATTTAAATTTAATTAAAGTGAGCATCCAAAGACCACCCACTGCAGCCCAGCATGGTGTTTTCACTGCCAGTTCCAGAGGGCCACCACCTCAGGCTGGAATGAAACCTTGTCCATTCAGTGCCAAGGCTAAAATAACTACAGAGAGAGTTGGTGAGAAGACAAATGTAAGGCAGAGATCAGGCCTTCCGTGGAGGCCATTTTCTGGACATGCTACATTGAGCAGACCAGTTCCCTTAGAGAACAAAGAATCTGACAGTGGTACAGTTAAAATGAAAGACGAACTGAGCTGTGATTCTGATGTTGTCCCCTCAGTGTACAAAGACAGGTGAGGTTTAACACAAATTGTTTTTAATTGAAATAGTGTAGGCCATTAAATTTTCACTTGTCAAGAGAATTCTAAGTTTGTAGTAAATGTAGCGTAACACCTCGTAAACTGTAGATTACCTCAACCCTTCACATTTTAACATCAGTATCCATATTCTCCATACTGTTCTTTACACATTTCCTAAGGTGTTGACAAGGAGAATTTGTTTGACAATCCAGAGCTTCCTTAGTTGGTGATCATCTCCTTTATTCTTGTGACTAAATCTTTATTATTGTGAGGTGTGTATAGTCCATTGGTCAGTGCGCTGGACTCTGGGTTGGTTGGCCTGGGTTCAAATCCTGCCTGGGGCATGACATTGTGTCCTTAAGCAAGACACTTCACTCACATTGCTTCATCTTCTCGGATAAGACGTAAAACCATAGGTCCCGTCTCCTGCACGGTTAGGAGTAGGAGATGTAAATTTCCCATGCACGAGATTACTGTGTAGTGGATGTCCTCCCCAGGGACTGGGATGGGTGGGAAGGTGAGATCGCTACATGGACTGAAGCAGCTGCTAGAGGCGCCCGATCTCAACCTTACAATACTGTTAGGCGCAACTGAATATATTCACATAGAACTCTGCGGTATATAAATGTAAAAATGTAAATGTAATTCAGGGAAGATATTGTGAGGGGAAATTAGATGCTAGTCACTCCAAGGAGTCGAAGCGTCAACACCAGAATTATTGCTGACAGTAAGTGTTTTGTCCTTGAAATAATGTGTACAGGTGTTTGCCCAAGAACATTACAATTCTACAAGAGTGGCTGACAGAAGATGTGCCAAATAACTGGTGAGTACACACATTGTTTTATTTTCTCTTCAAAATATGTGGTTTCCTGTGATCACATATTCTGAGCTTTGTTGTCAATCTGAGATACATGTCCATGTACAGTGTGTTCATTGAGACTCCAATTTTTTTCTTGTTGCAAAAGTTTAGATGGAATTCAATTTTCCCCTAATTGTTTCAGATCTTAAAGATAAAAAACAATCTTGACCAAAGAAAATTAAAAGTCAATCTAGTGTCAAAAACTTTAAACTTACCTTGGAAATGAGTTTGAATCCCACCGTGTATGGAATCCTTATAATTTATACCAACCAATAATTTGACAACTGAGGCTTGTTTACTGGTTAGGATTTTTGTTTAGGCCAGGTTCAGAGGTATGTTTTTTACAAATGTATATACTTTTACCATTTTCATTGGAAAATTCACTGATGATTTGGCAGTAAGCTAGGCAACAAAAATAGTTTTCCATATCAAGTGAATTGACCATTTCCCTCCCTGTACTCTATAAATTAAAGTGTAATACTTATGGCAAAGAAAAATATGAGTGTTTGAAAAGGTGTATATAAAAGAGTGCTTATCTGCCTGATCTTGTTCTGTCGACAGGCCAACACAACTTACACCCAAACACAGCTTTGTATTCCTGCCATGCATGCAGTCAGAGGAGTGTGTGTGGGATAAGCTACCTGCTGTACCACCTACTCAGCACGGTGNCGTGAGTATTGTTACAAGCTTGTTGCATGCAAATTATAAAGAAATTCTAATGACTAAATTTTCTACAAATAAACAAACCAGTTTTTAAGGCCTGTTTATATCTATTGATGTCACCATGGCAATGGCACATACGTCAGCTTGCAATACAATACAATACAATACAATAGACTTTATTTCAAGAGGGTAGGACGTGGTAGTAGTTAAACTGATGATCCTGTGGCCCTCTACCTATGTACCTATATAATATACAATACTATTAAGTGTTATTCTATTAAAATTGACAAAGAATCTAAAATGGCGCACTGAAATTGTTAGTTTCTATCTGGCTTTTTAAAAGAGTGTTTATTAGTCTCTTTTTGAAACTTTTTTGTGTCCTTTGAGTTTCTGAGCATTTTCTCTAAATTATTCCAGTCTTTGATGGATCTAACTGTGAACATTCATCCCCCTTGGGTAGGGTTGTTATATTTGAGGCAGCGTAGGTTTAGATTCCTTTAACGGGCATTTCTGGAGTGAACATCAGAATTCAGTTGAAGCAGAGATTTCAGGTATTCTGGTATTTTATGGAGCGTTCTCTTGAGAATTAATGTGCATCTGTTGACGTACACCTCTTGATAGAAGGGAAGCCAATTTAACGTGTTGAACAAAGGCAATGTGCATATCTTAACTTTCAAAAAAACAAAGTTTGTATTGTTAACTTACTGCCAGTTTTGGCGATCTAGAGATCAAGGGTCTTAGAGAAAATGGTGAAAGGAACAAAAACTGTGTTCAGCCATTATTTGATATTTTTCTTTATTCTTGTCACTAGTCTGTTTGACATTGTATTGCTGTTGTAGGGAGAAAATCTGTCTTGGTCACCCATGGTGGGAGGAGGTGCTGGGGATAGATTAGCATCCCATCTAGGAGGTAGAATACTCGTCATCATTTCATGCCACAGAAACCAGGGTTCATGAGAACTGATTGCTCAAGTTTTGCTGTCATGTTTTTCCGCTCTAAGACTGACTAAGTACAAGTCAGTTGTGATTGATCACTTTCATTCCATTAGCAGTGTTTAATTGTACATGTAGATTATTCAACTTGGTTTACCATAGTAATGTTCTGAGTAAGTCATCTGTCATGTAGTTGCTGGTAGCTGTAGATATCCTGTCAGTGCTTTTATTAAATTCTTTTTATTGTTTATAGAAATGCAAGCCCTCAAAACCAAGATTCCAGTCATTTGTTGAAGTATAATGAAAAATGTTTTTTGACATGCACCTTTGTTACACAGAAAATAATGATTATTATTTTAAACTTCTGATCACATGCCTTGTCTTTTGACAACTGGTAAGATGCTCAACCACTGAGCTGCACACAACATTTATTTCAATGTTTGAAAAGCATTTTTATTAACCCTCTTCACCCTTACATCAGTATGCATATTCTCCATACTGTTCTCTATACATTTCCTGAGGTGCTGACAAGGAGAATTTGTTTAACAATCAA